AATCCGTGAGCCGTCCGTCCTGTGACCAATCATGTGCCAGTGTTTCCACTTGCCATCACCGCGACGAGCTCTGCCCCAGGTAGAGCTGACTTGCAGGATTAGAAATTAAATGGGTTTGCGCGTGTTAACACCATGGTATTAACGGCTGATTTGTGTTAATTAATGACAAAACATCAAAATTAAGTATTGCTCCTAGGGAATCGTATGGAGAACTATTTCCGGTCGTTTGAGTCCCTCGCTATCCAGTTGGGTACTCGGAGCTCACTCCGCTGTGGATCATCTTGTTCGGGTGCGATATGTGGCAGAGTTGACAGCTTAGCATACTAACGAAAAATCCAGAATAATTTTGAAGTTAGTTGTGAACGATCACTTTTGGCCACGTTACACTGAAAGTGGAGCCTGGGTATTTTTGGAAGCCATTGACTACCATCCTATCTGAAGCCATGGCTTCAGAAGATCCTATGGATTTTCCATCGGAAGGTAGCCATTATCATCAACATCAGCGACAGCATGACATCAGTGTCCAAAACCGATACATCGCTGCTGCGCAATCATGATTTATTTGAAAGCCTTTGAAGAAGATAAACATGGAAGGCGAAAGGACTTAGTGCTAGCTTACTGTAATCATTCCGAGATGCACACACCTCCAGACACTCATTCAGACAATCTGGATAGAAGCTGACAACAAGATCGCCACTGTCATCGGTTGGCAGCCGTATCTTCCAGCGTCTCCATCCAGGCGCAGTGAGGATCACGCGGTCCTTATCCTGAAAGATGAGTAGCACCGACAGCACCCAAGCGTTTCTTAATCCCCTTCATACCCTCTGCCAGGTCGGGGATCGCCCGCCTCTCTGCTCCCGCCACCTCCAATTGGGTATGGAAAACAGCACTCTCTTCGACAAGCGATGTTTAGGTAGACGCATCACAGGTCCCAACCGGCGCAGCTTCTGGTGCTGGACCCATTCTTCAATGGAAGCACCCGTTGCACGACCGGAAACGCGCTTTCTCATTGCCTCGTTTTGGATACGCCGTCACCAAGTGACGCGAGCTATGGTTCTGAGACGATTGTCCAACACCTGAAGACGTCTCAGTTCCTTTGCTTGAACAGGCCAAGTCTCACGACCGTACAACAAAACAGCTCGCCCTGTAGCTTGATACACGTCCCTTGAGGTTCAGGGATACACCACTTTGAATTTCCTTGGCTTTCTGTGTCCACCACACTTCACGGTCGACTTGCACGCTCACTTTCACTTGCCGTCTGATAATTCGTCGATCAAGTTATGTTCAAGACCGGCTGGGATATTTCCCCGAGATTTAAGATCTGATATCTAGTGCTTGAGTGAGCCTGGTGGTGCCGTGCCACAGGCAAGGTTCCCAGCACTATGCAGAACTGGAAGTCTCGTCCCACTATGAGCTCACATCTGATGGTGGAGAATTTGGAAGGGACTCTGGGGACTCTAGAGACTCTAGTTCGTCTAACGTCCGGATCTGCCAATCTTTCAGTTGCCAAGCCATTTGTGCGCAGTGTGCGGCCCAGCAAGACATAGGGAGAAGCGCCTCCGGACGAGTGCCCGATCGGAATCCACCAACATGTTCCAGAACAACTGGCAGTCAGTTATTGACCCGCGCAATCTGTAACCGATGGCAACGTGATGGGTTTGAGTTTGTGGCCGGCATGCCGCTGGAGGAAGACATGTCGCCAGATGACTTTGACTATTCCGGAAATTAGTGCTGCATGAAACAGTCTGCGGTCAACACACAGCTGAAGCAATCGTTCACAATTGTCCTTACATACCGAGTCCAATCCACATCGACCTAATTGAGTCTCAGATACGCTAAGCCTGCCCACTTGTTCCCTCATGTCTCCGACAACCACCAGGATAGCTGAGCCTTTAGTTTGCCGCAACAGGGCATTTTGGGCGTCATAAAACCCATCTTTGACTTTCGGAGCTACAGTCAGTTGGGGCGTAAGCAGATACGATAAACAGGCATCAATCAACTTCCCGCTTGTGAGACTGCTTCACAGAAGTTGCCAGACGAACCGCACTGAGGCGACATCAACAGGTATCCTGCCAAGCAAGGATACTTCTGCACATTCCACCGCAGCAGCCTCTGGATCACCAGAGGTGCGTAATCAGAAGCGAATGGAGAGTGATAGGGCCGTTAGCCTAGACACTGTGCTTGCATAATGAATTCTTGTTTCTGAGACAGAACACATCAATGCCAAGCAAATCCATTGTGAGAGCAAGAGCAGCTTGTCGTCCTGCTTGCTTCGGAGTACGGACATTGAAGGCGGTCAGATAGACTGGGTGTCGAGATATCTGAGGATGTCGGCGCCGTGTGACGAGCAGATGTTGCACGCAAAACCGATGCAAATCAATCGGAGTCATCGGTTCTAAGTGCTGGGTCTACAAGCGAAGGGTTATTAATGGGGTGTGTAGAGGGGGTGGAGTATTTGAGAGAGGGAAGGAAGGGACGCGTCAGCAGTGACCTGTTTCCGCTTACCTGCCTTGCTGTATGCGGCGAGTAAGGCGACCCAGCTGATGGTACCACACGACGGCCAATGTGGCATGAGAATATTGTTAGTTGTAAGTTTCATGGTTGTACGTGAGCTGGGATACTATCAAGGCGCCCACACCTAGACAGAAGCCAGAGCCTTTGGCTCAAAGGCCTAACCGTAAGGCTGCGGGGTTTGGCTGGAAATGCAAATGCATTACCTTGTCTGTGAAACAGTCCGCCACATATTCCATCCCCCAACCTGGAGGATCAGGAGACTGTTTGCCAGACCCCTAACCATTGACCAACCTGGTAAGAGACTGTGAGTGTCGCGGGGACACATTCCAGTATAGCTGAAGTTCGCAAACCGTCACACTAAGGTAAGGCACAGTGTTTTCATGACGGTTAAACTGGGTCTGATTATCGCGTTGCTCTGGATTCGCGACGCTTGAACAACGGAGAGCGCTTACGGTAATGCCTGCTGATCACAGACATTTTTTGCGTTATCAGCTTCAGAACAGTGGGAACCACTTGACGACCCATCAGCGAACTGGAATTAGCATCAGCTTCGTCGACATTACAGTATCAGTGCCCGCCTGATACTGATACAGCGTTGTCATACCATCATAATTTATTTGAAAGCATAATTTTGAAAAGAATAGAAGTAGATGGAGAAGGTATCCAGTGATAACATACTACAATCGTTTTAGGGTGCCCACACCACCGGAAGCCTATTCGGATAAGCTGGATAGAATTTGGCGACAGGAATGTCATTGGTATCGATTAGCAACCACATCTTGTAGCGTTCCAACCATACCTATTCGGATAAGCTGGATAGAATTTGGCGACAGGAATGTCATTGGTATCGATTAGCAACCACATCTTGTAGCGTCTCCAACCATACACAAGAGGTTCACGTGGACCACATCCGGGAAGGTGAGTTGCACCGACAGTACCCAGACTTTTCGTGGTTGTATTCCCACCCCTCTGCCATATCAGATGTCAACCGTCTGTTTGTGTCACCCTGAACTGGACATGACGAACGACACTTTGACAAACGATGAAAACGTTGAAAAAACAATTTTAACTTTTCGTGCTTGGCACATCCGAGGAACACTTGCCTTCTGACCGTCTCATGGCGGATTCGTTAACACTAGCCTACATAGGCAATGGTTTAGAAACAAAGATTATTGAAGACTTGAAGACATCTCAGTTAGGCTGCTTGCTCGTCCCAAAAAATACCTCTGCCTTGAGATTAAGCTTTTGAGTCGAAGGCTTTGTTTGAGGGCCCTAGTCATCATCCTATCTAGGTGGGAGCCCCGTGACATTACTCCAGCACACGTACGACCACGAATCGCACACTCACAAATAACCTCGTGTCACATGGGTCGTCGCATGGCCCCATCAGCCGAGTTACCTTACATGTTGCACACGTCAGAGCTGGTAAGAGAAAACAGGCTACTGCCGACGCCTTCCATCTTCCTTTTTCATATATTTGCTCTTCTCACCCTGTTGCTAACGACATCTCCGTTACCCTCTGCTGACCGTTGCCGCTGGCTGCCATATCTATGGTGGACTCAGCCGCTACGGCCAAAGACTTCGAATTTTACACTTCAAACCCCGAAGTTCAACTTATCTGACAGCCTCTAACGTTCGCAGTCTTAAACGTTAGTCTGGCACTAGCTCACCATCGATTTTTTTATTGGTTCATGCTGTCTGTCTGAAACGAGGATTCAAGACCCAACTAAAGTTGTAGAGCTGACCTCCCCATCCGTCTCTTCTTCTTCTGGACACGCCCTGGTGATCCAGACGACACTGCTTCCACTTCTACTGCATCTAAGTCACAGAGCCCTTGATACGTAGCTTATAGCTGATTAACGGTGGCATGGCAGCTAGGCACCGGAAGGGTGTTACAGCTGAGCGATTTTTTGTCGTCGGTGCAAACGAGCGCAATTTACAATACGCTACCGATATTCGTCTGGATTTACTTCCGTTCACCCTTTACATGTTTCTGTTTTATTCCTACTTATGCCAAGTATTGGGGGCGAGATGACTCAGTGGTTAGAGCGCGAATTTACTGACTGGAAGGCCCGTAGTTCGAACTCAACCTCTGCATCTCGACTTCTGTCTAGGGTTGGGCAACTTGGCAGTATCCCAACCCTCGTGCTTCCTTCGAGTGGCCTGGCAGATAGGCACCGGAAGGGTGTTACGGCTGGACGGTTAAGCCAAGTATTATGAACCAAATGTCTTTTCCCTTTCAGCCTCTCCAAACATTGGTCGATTGAGTACACCGATACACATCTGCTCATCAACCTACCTTCAGCGCTTTTCAGAGGCTTCGTATGGCTGTGATTTCTTCATACTGACTGACAAGGAATCTTGTCTAATTCTAAAAAAAACTGCTTATCGGGGAGAAACAGTTTCTGATTACTTCGCTACACATCCATACCTGACATCTAAATCTCGTTTTCGAAATGCATGTTTCCACGCAGTAATTCGTACTAATGAAGCCGGTTGAGGGTTCCATCACATTCAGTTCTGGAATAGACACAATAAACGAATCAGATATCGACGATGAAATCTTCCTGGGGAACGAACCCTCGATTGTTCTTGAAAGACGCAGAAGGTCACACACAGCTGCTGAACAACGCAGGCGGAATGCAATTAAAGTTTGTCGTTTTACTAGTTGAACCTAATTGCTTACCATTATTGAATTCGCTTTTTATTTTTATTGTTATTATTATTATTATCACCAGAAAGGATACGAAGAACTACGTGAGTTGGTCTACCCGAAAAACAGTGGTTCCAGCTCCACAAACCGTATCAGTAAAACTTGCATTTTAAACAAAAGTAAGTTCGGATGCTGATTACCACTCACCGTCGGTTACAGCGGTCTCCGAAATTGAAAAACACAACAAAGAACTTGAGCAAAAACAGACAGATATTGAACGGTTAGAGAAATCCGTGGCGACTCTGAAGATACTAAACTCGTAAGTTTTCTACCTAATGTCACTCAATGCTTAATGTAGCTTCTACGAGGAACGAGCTAAAGGCACAATCCCCCAGAACGCTCCTGCGGAACCAGTTTCTGACGAACTGAAGTTTCACATTTTCAAATTATTTTCCGATTCATTATTCGCCTCATTCGATTCACGGGTTTCCTTAGCGCCGTTTTCAGAATTCGCAGACTGTATTTTGCGATGGCTTGAGGACACTTGCGATCGACGGGTAAGTAGTATTCAGAAGAATCACTCCTGTCAATAACTTATCTCCCAACGTACCGTGACTCTCTTGGAGGTACATTTTGGAGTACGCTTCTAAATAAGCAAAGTTTTTTTCTCAAGAATGCGATACGGAACGTCGCATAAGGAGTATTTACTTCTACCCCTCAGTATGAATCATGTTCCAGGTAGGTACACGCAGGTTTGCTTGTAATTTACTGACGGTTTGTCTAGATGAGTAATGACTACACTCCTTGTAGAGCTCATGTAACGCGTTTGTAGTTTATTCAAACATTCACATTGTTAAATGGCGAAGTGAAGACAACTTCTGTCCCTTCGAAGGGAGATCCGAGTTCTTTGGATAAATAAAGCCAAAGGATCTCATCCCAGTGTGACTCAACTGTTTAATTTTGGCCCACATTAGGAAGGGCGTGTGGAACCCGACTTTCTGGGGCGAACTCGCTCAGGAGTTGTTGTAGACAACATTCGTTTTCTGAATATAGTACTGTTTGAGACTGATGAGCACTCTTCGACAGGCTATTACCAATTGCGTTCTCTTGAGGTTCATCGGGCAGATATAGACCCTGAATTCTCAAACTTTATTCCGAACCTGACCACCGAATTGGACGTACGTGGAATTACGTTTTCATTTTCAAACCGGGCACTTGTAATGTTACACTTGACTCATTTATAACATTTTTCAGGGAACTACGCCCAACTGATCAGCTCATAAAGGACGGCAACTTCAGTTAGCTTTTCAAGTTCTCATCCACTGTGTGACTAGTATTTTTACCAGGAAAACTACTTCAGTATCCTGAGTGTGAGCCCAACCAACCTATGTCGGTAAAAACAGCATAATGGGGGTGTATATCAGCATTTCAGGGTGACGTTTCCTCATCCGGAAAACGGGTTCTTAACTCTACACAGCATCCAGTTCTTTGGCGGATGCATGAAAAATCATTTCGGAGCGTTAACCCGTTTGTACGGGCCACTCCAGCAAAAATATTTAACTACATACCTATTAGATCCTCAGTTCCTCTGTCACCATCAAGCATATTTGCACTTCTGCGCGCTAAATTCAAGGCATTTCAGTGCTAATGGTCGTGGCTTATCAGTCCTTCGTTTTTTGCCCTTCACTTTACAGTTCTGTTCTCCTGTGTCCATGTCTTTCCCCTTCAAAAAGCCGCAGTCTGTCTCAGTGGGGATCAGGTGATCGGTGTGCCGCCTTTTAAGAGCCGATTGACACTCGATATAGGATTGGTTGTAACATGCTGGTAACAGGGAACTTGTCCCTTTGAAATCACTAGAGGATAAGCTAAGTTATCGGAAGTAAGGGAGAATGTTCTTGCTGAATAAACATCAAAACCGGATTAGAACCACTAGATCTTCGGATCCCTAAAATATACTTTCACAACAGAGTCTGTACCCTAAGAAGCAACTCAATTGCGTCGTCGATTCTATGGTTCACAAATCATGCGCTCCTCACTCTTCATTTGGATTATATTGACCAAATAGGGTCGTAATTTAACACTTCATCATCTATGTTGATCTGGCCCCGTCTAGACCTTCCACACTCTTTTCGCAAACAACTTCAAGGTTTCCAGACACACACTTTGCACGCTTTATTGATCTGAATTCCAGACTCATTCAAACGTGCTATTCGATATTTGCAGTAGTTTCATCTATGGGAAGTCATCACTGCTGGCTACACACAGCAGAGAAAATTCCGCAAGCAGCTTGAACAAGCACTAAGATCAGTGTCACTTATGGCTTACAACCCACTTTGTTGAGTTTACAATTCCATTTGGATTTTATGATTCAAGATGTGTGCGTGGGCAGAGATCCTGAAGATGTTTGAGACCTCTGACGAAAAAGTTGAATTGGTGTTGATATGCTGTAAGTGAGGTTCCCTGATATGTGTGCAATGAACATCACTGATCGCATCTTAGTAACATACCGAAGTTAAATATGCAGAAGACGGAATGCAGCGGAGTCAGTCTTCGGACACATGTCACCAGGGGAAGCACGAACAACTACGGACCATCGAAAGGTCGATGAGGCGTCAGATTAAAATTCACTGAAACCGACCCCACAACTACAACCTACGAAGCTGATAGTTCCGAAGGGCAGGGTTTGGCGGTTGCTTATTAGCCATCTCGAGCATAATTACTCAAAACGGACGATGCCGATCAACGCTTGGTGTAAAGTGACTGGCTTGTTAACCATTGCATTCACCAAAACTCTTTCCAGAAAGCTAGCATGTTCGGGTGGGTCGGTTTCCCAATTTTGTGAGGGTGGCTATCGAGGATATTCCGTCGAGCGATCTTATGGTAACTCGCGCACATTATGTGAAGTTCATGGCGAAATTAAAACTAAGTATTTGCACTTGGATAGAGCCGACGTGATTCGACACCGAAATTACTAGTCAATATATATATATATATATATATATATATATATCCAGCAAAACAGAATCCCAATACGTTCCACGAAGATAGCCGACTATACGAATGAGTTTCTACTCCACCAGTGGCTTGGGTGTAGTGTTTTTTTCAAGAAATGGGCACCAGGGCCATTCAACTGAACAGTTTTTTGGAATTATTGGGAGAGGAAATTTTGCCATTCGGCTACCCTGCAGCGTTGGAGAATTGAAAGGTAACATCGCGGAGAAATCGCTCTTCTAAGGGTGCTGTGCTACCAAACATCTCCTCGAACAAAACACAGTGCATTTAGGTAGTGTATTTATTGATAACGTCTTTAGCTGAAAGTGGTTATTTGATTATTGCAGCCACCCGCAGTCTGTCTTCTTAACCCGACTGTGTCTGTGGTTCGTTCCACTTAACTTCTAAGCCTTAGTTTTCCACATGGGTCCTTTACAGTCGTTACTGAGATGTATTTTTGTATCGTGCAAAACGGCTAGATGCTCTGGTATCTGTGAGGGGCTGTCTTTTCAGCACAATGCACTAGAACCTACATAAGCTGCCACGAATTTCAAGGTGATACCAGCTAGCTCCATCCACCATCTTTCCCTTGTTCAGCTTCGGAATCCTTTGCACCAATTGATGTTGGTATTTTTATTATTACAGTCTCAGGGATGTACTTTTTTACTGAGGCATTCAACGAGTTCGACATCGAACCATTCTGATGATCTTAATTTGTGGAACGTTAAAGCATACCCTCGAGTTTCACGTGGGCGAGACTAGCCCTAGTCTCCTTGATGTGATTAACGGGCCCACGATGGCATTGGGTCATCCTGCTAGGTTAGGTGACTGTCACGTTTGTACCACTCTGAAAGATGCTTTCTGGGTTATTGAAACCAGGCCCACGATTGTTAGGAGGCAACCATCATGACCACCGTACTGACTTAGCTCCAAATTCTCGAACATGTACTTATTAGAACCCTGATTCTGGTCAAGAACGGATCGATAAGTAGGATTCCCGTGAGACATTGTACGATCTCTTCCTTCGGTGAATTGCAAAATGTGTCATTCACTTTAGCTTTGTTGGCTTCAGGATGCTGTCGATCACGAGCGCAATCAAATTTCATGTTATCGGTGCAGGGCGGTTTTAGGAAGTGTGGGTTGATCCAGAGACAACCTTGGTTTGCCTGTCAGTTAAAAGTGAGCGCTATTCGACGATTATTCACCGTCTGTTTTTGATCCTTCGGAGGTACCATGGACTACGGATGGTTAACTGAACTTGGGAATTACATCCATCCCGACGAGGTATTCCTACAGCGTTTTGATTACTGATATTTAGTCCGATAGCAGTAGCGATGCCACAAGATAGTCATACACAGTAAGGTCACGCGGGCAACTGGCTATTCGGAACACGAGAACACTGCTACGTAATGCTGAGTTTTCAGCGTACTAGTCATGGATAACTTGCCTACTTAGGTGCAATGCATCCACCTGTAGCTATATTCGCTTCATACCGTTCAACATGGGCCATGCAGTGATTTGAATTACACTATGTAAGCTACACATCATGGGTGGATATTGCGTAGCCGCTTTCCTATTTCACTAAGGATGCATAAGCAAGTAGATTGACGGTCATTTCGCAACCAGTTCAACCTTGTCGGATGTTTTCCTAGGTCCTATTATAGCTCTACATACCTGTGCGCTCACTGTTTCGTGAACCAAGCCACATTAACCAAGTTACAAAAGAGCACATAAGTACTTCCGTAAACCGCCCACTTGTTCTCACACCCTCGGATCATTGTATATTGACAGTGTTCGCACCCTCATAGGCTGTATGTGCATTGTATTTACCACTTCCTGATTTACTAGCTAGTTGAAAGGCGAGTTTTCATCCCCGATTCAAGTTCACACCTTCAACTTTTCTGTTATGTACAGCATACGGGCCCATGTACTTTCTTCGGATTGGAACACCATGACTTGTGGGTATGGTTCTGATGAGGCCCTTTCTGGCAGTTATAACAATAAACCACGTAACAACGTGAAGGGTTTAGAGCGCGCCACAGCTTGTATAGATACGAGCACTATTTACTGGATTCGTTGGGGTCTGTGATTGATGAACCAGGACAATGTGTTTTGCCCCAAAAGATAGGAACCAAGTGAAAGGTAATCGCTCCACTTCCAGTGCTGTTTATCAGGAGGTCTTGAAGTAAGTGGATGGATCACTAAGGTATTTTAGTAGGATGGTCCCGATCCGTATCGATCGAGACGTGATGACATGCTTGGTAAGTCTAACTCTCAAGCAGCTACTTGTAGGCTCTCGAATTCGCTCTGGTGAGCCCTGCGTTGCTCGAGTACTGGCGAAAAAAAAACGGTTGCATGATGTTCTTAACCATTCATCGGCTCCTGTTCTTGCAGTTGGTGCTGAGCATCAAACTAATGATTAGGTCTGCCCATAATTATGCACTTCATTCCATTTTTCACTCTCCAGTACTCCTGTACTGAAGAGAGAACACCGCCATGAACTGAATGATGTCATCCATTGTCCCAGTTTGGATGCCACTAGATCATTATCGGATACGTGCGCTGTAAATGAAGGTGATTAAACTCACAGGTTCACTTTAAGTAGTTTCTGTCTCTCCAGTTTGCAACAACATGGTTAGGGCTATCTTGTTGTCTGGTGGATGTGACCCAGTGAACAATTAGGTGACCTACCTGCTTTAGACCAAATAATGAATTAAGTATGTTATTACTGGATAAAAGGGTAGATCTTATTAGTTTGTGACTTACATTTGTTAACCCACCATTATTAACTTATTAACTATTCCCGTCTTCCTGTTTTCCCCCAATTTTTAGTTCTTGTCAAAGCTGATGGATTCTGTGGTATCTTCCACCTTACTCGTAACTGAAGATCAAAGTGTCATTCCTAGGGCCATGTCTGGAAACTTCTGCCCCAATCCTTCGGATTTATCACCCAACCAGGGATCAACAGGATTTCCCGCCAATTCACCCGACAATGTGCCTTTCAAGGACAGTCCTCATTCCGGCGAATGGATACAATCCGATACCGTGAGTAACAAAGCAGCCATACCTATCATGCCTGATACGGATTATCCTGTTAAACCGACGCCACTGTCTTCTGCCACTTACGAGCAACACCAACCATTCACTAACAATCCAGACATCGTGCCTAATAATTCGGGTTTCGCCTCCACACACGACCATGCTCCAACTACCACTCCAACCAAGTTTAATGGCCATAAGCGAAACTCTTTACCTCATGATTTGACGGTTGTGTTCAGAGCGCAAGCGTCGAAACCTGTTGAATCGGCTTCTTCTTCTTCTAGTAAACGGGACTTTGATTTCCCTGTACCTCATTCGACCCTCGCTTCTGCATCACGCGGGATCCGATCATCGGGAACATTCGCTCCAAAGTTTCCGGCTTTGGTTTCTACGCAACCCAGCGGAAGTACTGCGATGCCATCATCTTTTGGACTAACGACCTCCGCTGCTCAATACAAACCTTTCTTTTGACTTTGCTCTCTAGAATTTCCGTTTTTGATTTTGTCTCCTGCCCCTGATTAATCTCGTAAATTTGTCAACTCTCCGGATCGTGATGATGATCGGATTTGTTATATCATTTTTTGGCCCTTTTCCACACTGCTGAGATACCTGAAAACTAGTCTTTTCGTTACGTCTTTGACTTTCTATCGAATGGTGTGCCCCTACAGAGCCCGTATCACGTTTTTGAGCAATCTACGCTTATGAGCAATCACCATTCAGTGAATATATTCATCCCTCTGATTACACACCTGCCGTATTTTGTTTTTGTGCCCACCGGTTTGCTCTGACGGGGAGCTCATTGACTCTTACCTGGCTTTTTTCAAGCTAGGGGGCGCGCAATAACTCAGTGGAAAAATGCGAGACAACTGTAACGTAATTATCCTACATTTTGAACTGTGCACACATTAGTCTGAGTCGCCTGCTTGCTAAGTAGTATCTTTGCGATATGTTGACGTTATCTAAAACTGCTAAATTGATTACATTTCGTTCTCCACTGGTGCCCTCCTCTTTTATCCGGTGACCACGTATTCCTGCAAACCTTTACAATGGACTCCATCCGGGACCAGGAGAGGCTTAGTTTCATCTCAGTTCACCTCGTCTCTCAGCGGTGCCTCGACTATGGTGCAGTAGTCTATTAATTCGGTGCAAGACCACTAGCACACACCAAGGCTTAGGAGCTCCAAGGACATGTATTGATTGACCGAAAGAAATCTCATTCACTGTCATCCAGACGAAGGAATAACTGAGTGTGACGATCATGAAACGTTACCATCTGGGGTTTCCTCTTAAACTTATAAGGTAGTTATTACATAGTGGCAAACCAGTCACTAAATGGTTATGTGGGTTCATTTTAATACATGTTCATACATTCAGAACGCAAGACTGTGAATACTAGTGTTCGCTTTATCTTCGTCAGGTCAGTTTACGTCGATTGTTGCTTAAAATAAACGTTCCGCGTAACACTTGTTGCAGCAATTTGTTTCAGGTCATCGGTTGTACGGCTGTATGGTATGCATTCCAATCAATCGACGAATACCAAACTGATGAGAAAGTGACTAGTTCAACTGAATCGTGGTATGCCATTAAGTTGTCAGAAAAGCGTCAGTGATTACTTCTTATTCGTCCTGCTTTTTGGGAAGTTTTCCACGTATGTGGATAGCAACGGCAACGTCAAGTAGTGGATGGATGGGAAAGAAGTCTGCTTCATAAATTCGGAGAAAGTAGAATAAAAAAGGATCTTCACTGAAAGCAGTTGAAGATGTTGCAGTTGTGGTGGCTTTTCTGGATTTTCGATGAGTATCCGCACTGGCCGTTTTGATGTTCAAATCGGTCTCATCGTCCTTCGCATTCTTCTGCTAGAACGACGCCATACGTACAAATGACCCACAATTTTAGTATTCCTGAATTGCCAAAGCTCAGTCGATTCGGTTGACCGGTCTATTCTTCTTGACACCTTTACCCACCAAGGAATACCCCTGAGGTTTGTGAACATAAGCTCTCTGTATTCCCCTACTTCCGGATATGTGAGTGCTCTTCAAAAGCTTCCGTACGAAAAATGGCCTCAGTCTTGGCTGTCCATCCTGTCCATTCCCATTTAATTTCGTGATCGACGAGACACTGAGTCGAAAGTCTAAAATTCTTCAAAATCTCGGTGTTCTAATTGCTACTGACGAAATTCTTATCGATCTGGGATACGCAGATGACGTCGTTCTCGTCCTTGAGGAGGAGAAATCGCAGGTGTTTTTGTATAAGCTGTCCGGAGCCATCCATTCGGTATGCGCTTTGTATCCGCGAATTGTAAAGTCATGCTTCTGGACATACATTCACTGAATACGCCACTTACGATTCAAGGAGATGTTTTTGAAGTTGTGAAGCTTTTTATGTATCTTGGAAGTTGTGTTGGCCCCGGTCGTACTGTGACAAATGAGGTCAATGCACGAGTCTGAAAGAGTTGGGACGTCTACGGCGCCCAAGCGGTTTATCCTGAACCTCAGTGAACGTGTGTATCAGGCTACTTCCCGGGCTTTTCTGTTGTATGGTCTGTTATGGCCTGTTTGAGCAATGGAACTGAGATGTCTTCAGGTCTTAGACAACCGCTATTTGGTGCCGGCTAATCCGCAAAGAGGCAGTTAGAAGGCGAGTGTCCGGTTGTGTAACGGGGACTTCCATTGATGTATGTGTCCAGCACCAGAAGCTACGTTGATTGGGCCATGTATTGCGCATGTTGAACAATCGTTTACCAAAGATTTCTGTTTTCTGTGCGCAATTCAGCCTGGCGGAACCACGGTGGCCAATCGTTGACCTGACAGGGGTTTGAAGGAGATTACGAAAAGTCTGAGTGCTGTCGTCGCTATTCGCTTTCCAGGATGGGGACCGTGTGATCCCCACTGCGCCTTGTTGGAGGCGCTGTAAGATATGGCTGCCAGGCGATGTCAATACTGTTCTTGTTGTGAATTTCTATGCAGATTGAACGAGTGTTTGAAGGTGTAGGTACCTCGGAGAGGTAAGTTAGCACTGATTTCCTACCCGTCCACTTTTATCCTGTTCTTCGCAATGAGGCTTTGTAGCAGCGAAGCATAAGTGTTGAACAGATTTTATGCTGTTGACGGTGACAATGATACTGTTTTCCTTTGAATGATTTGGCTCCTATTTAACAGTCAAGCTGTGGGGAATGGCGATCGTTCCTCAGTCGGATTGACCTGTCTGGAGAAGTTGAGCATTTACTCTTGACGGTAGCGTATGTAATGTAGCGGTATGTGGACCTAACGAGGCAAACTCTGTCGTGAGACAATGTCCCACAGTTGGCTGTGCGGATCACAAATGCTACATGGTGTCGGGGTAGCTAACCGGAAGCTAAGCGTTTAAATGACTCATAATGAGGTCTGTTACGAATCCTTGATCCTGTTCATCATCATCCATGGTTATTATAATATCTTCAGTCGATTACCACCGTCCAATCGCGACTCTAAGGTTACTAAATTGACCGTATATAAGTACGCACGAAATTGCAGGTCATAGCAAGTTAACAGGTGGGGTAAATGACCAAATAATTTCCCGTTTGCGTGCAACAGCGTTATTCATTCTGGATGCAGAAGTGTTAGGTTTGATGCGGGTCACATCGTCAATAGTTGATTGGGCTTGGTGCAACCTGCAACCAGTCGAAAACGGTTCATTGTGATGGACAAATCGGTTATCTTAAGATGTCGGGAACGATTTTTCTATCGACACAATTCTTAATGGGCCACCAGGTTACTGTGCACAACTTTAACTGAAAGGTTGGTTCACGTAATCTCAAGTGATCGGCTTCCGGTCCGCGGGTTTCCTATGTGAAGCGTGAACATCTGCATATAGGCCGCTTAGGTACTGGTATGCGCACAAAAGTGAGATGCACATTCAAACAGTATCTGAAGCAATTCCTAGTCGTGTGCCTTGTCCGGCCCTCCAGTGCGAGCCCACTTGAAGCTTGTTTTGCTGCACCATGATCAATGGTGCATGCCAAGAGGAGTCCCAGTGGATGGTTTCATCCCAACTTGCTGTCCATCATACTAGTCGTTAAAAGTGCATATTGCTCATAAAATTGCTGAAATTTCTTCGAGAGCTTACGAACAGTTTCGCTCTTCTTGAGGCTCACCAGTCGTCGAGTTTCTCTCCACGTTCCCCATTGATTGAAACCGAATTGAACAGATTTCGACAAATACACTCATTTGCACACAATTGTCTTGATGAAGGACTCATTTAAGTCCAGCTGAATCTCCTTTATGTTGGTCCGCTTCAACTGAATGCTCTGAGGTTCCAGTTGAGCCCCCCTGTCAAAACCACATTCGTGTGCGAATAGGAGTATTTGTCAAAAAAGTTGAAGGAAACTCGGGGACTGTGCCTATCTGGTGAACTTTAAGAAGAACGAAACCGGTCACGCTCTATCCGAAAACTTCCAGCGACCTTATGAGTAGTGTGTTATGTTTAGACAATGTATTACGATATGTAGAATATCGTAGTAACTGGAACAAGAGCCCCCCCCTTGTGCAGCCCATTCATTTGAAGCGGACCTTGATGAACAAGAGATTCAGCTGAGATTCAAGGAAGTCCGCCGTCAAAACCAAATTCGTGCACAAATGGGAGTATAAGTTAGATTTAGTTTCCTTGCAGCATTGTATATTTTTGATGTAGTTTCTATTGCGAGGTTGTATGACAGTAGTGCGCAACTGATACGAACTTGACGTTACTGTCAGTCCAAGTGGATTCACCGCACCGTGTTGGTCCGATGACTAGCAAGCCGATGCAGTCGGAAAGTATGCAGTAACTTGAATAGGAATGACCGACTGAAATATGATGTACCATTTTGATGTGCCTCAGGTGCTGGTAATTTAAACGCACACATCGACCGGCTTGGCAAGAATACGGCAAGCCTTCACAGCCATCACTTCAAGCTGCTGTACGAACATGCCAGCTACCTCATTTGCGTAACAATGGTCCAGTAGTGGTCGCAAATTTTCGACTGTGCTTTAATCTGCTTGTGAATTGTTGACACCAGTAGTCTGAACCACCCAAGTCGGCTCGATAGATCCCTATAAGTTGCCACATAATGTAAATTTAGATAAACGGACTGTATTGAGCGTGACCATGGAATCTCAACAGCGCAGTCGCTACACCCTCTTCGACTGACCGAGCTATTATGACTTAGAGTGTAGGTATTTCATTGTATGGTGCTTCCGTGAAACCATTTTAATTCTGAATGATTCAAAACAAACCCGTTTCTCTGTTGACTGACTCTTTCAGCCGGTGAGTATCTTTTTATGGAGGCTTAGGTTTGGTGATAACATCAAATGTTTGACAAATGTTAAAGCCAGTTCTTAGTGAATGATGAGACTTGTAGCGTTATAGTAAATTTGAGTAAAACCCTAATATAACGGCCACCTTTGCAGTGCCTTTAAAAAGTCGGAACTATGACGTTGCGTATGCCTACAGAAGATTATCTACACATTAGCGAGTAATTACCGGAAATGGCCTAGATCATAATTCTCTTCCAATCTTCCAGAAACGCACTGACAAATAAACTCACACTGAAGACCGCCCTGTCGACTGAGTTACCAAGTGCTCTTGCTGTACATGAAACTGAGGAACTTAAACCTCAGGAGGTGAATTCCGTCAGTCTTATAATGGTGCCTCCCCGGTAGTTTCCACACCAAGCCGGATGCTGGTATCGCTTGGGAGCCCGATAAGCATTAGTATAAACTGATGTAGATTGGAAGGGGGTCTGGTAAATCTCAAGATGAGAAGCCCAGGCACTCAAATTACGGACAAAAAGACACCTAGCAATGGTTTCTAACAACCGAGTGCCCACTCACCGGCAGTTTCCGAGGTTTATTGTGACTAAATGCAATAGGATACACCCTATGAGCTTGGTAATAGAAGTCGAGTTGACGTGCCTGACAAGCTGAATCACTCACCAATCTGATTTGGACTCAACCTCTTTCATCGATGACATCGTTAAGTTTACCCCACTGAACAAATGGAAGATAAGCCCGATGGCTGCTACCAAATC